CGCAGTCGTTTACTGTGCGATATTCAACATAGCGATTCAGTTACTAGAAGAAACTTTATAATGTTTTCATTAAAAAAGATCGATTCATTTTTATTCGGCGGAACATTGACTGAAACTCTTATGACAGTAAAATCAATAAACAAGTCTGGAATCGAATTAAAGGCTGACCCTTCTACAAAAAATATAAGTAAACGGCAAAAAATATCTAATCAGAATCAGTTAAACCGGAAAGCTCCCGGGGCGGCGTACAGGTAACCAGGCCCATCGCAGAGGAGTCGCGAGCCTGCATTCCCGCGCAGATTACCTCCCCAAGGCAGTGGCCGCGTCCGCAACCGCTGCCGCCGCCACCACCGCCGCCCGCCACCGTCTCAAACACAGGGACGACGTCGCTACTGAATACATTCCCGAAGGATTCACGAATCGATTACCCTGGTGGCAGCAACCTTACCAGGAACGCGTTATCAAGAAGGAGCTTACCAACTTCCTCCTTGGATATAATGTTAGTATCATTATCCTTAATTCACTCAGTCAATATGACGTATAGTTAAAAAAAAAAAAAAAATGGTGGACCTTTTGCAATAATAATTCCATTAACTTATTTACAGCTTCCCTACCGTTATTTACTTCCTTACTGTGTTGTTTAACGATGGTGGTCAATTCGGTACATTGAATTCATGCAGATCTGCCTTATCTTTTTTATTAGGATCACACATAGGTAAAGATGACAGAGTTCAGAGATTCTTAAGGGTGTGTTTCGTCTTCAACCACCCCTTCCAAAGTATAACTTTACAGGGGATACGAATTGCATTTTAGGATCAGATAAGCCAATGGTTCCCAAATGAGGACCTAACGTTAGAGCAATTGACTAAAAAGACATTAACCTTACTGGCATTAACTACAGCACATAGAATGCAAACGTTGTCAAAAATCGAAATCAAAAACATACACATATCTCAGTCAGGTTGTTATTAAAATACCACAAATTATTAATACTTCAAAACCAGGTCGTGAGCAACCAATACTTTATCTACCATTTTTCAACAGTTGGCCAAATGTGTGTCCAGCAAAAACACTACTATGTTACATTAATATAACAGACAAACTCCCTTAAGAAAATCTGATGCTCTGTTTATAGGTACTAAAAAGCCGTCAGTGCGATTCGTAATACTGCGGGCTGGAGGGGCAACTCTACCGTGTTCGCACGATTTTACAACAGGCCTATTCATAATCATGGTTGTACATCATTAGCCCAATCAATTATTGACCATTAAGTAAATAAATCAGTGTATCAAAATTTCGTAATTACTACCTATACTATAATTTAGAATGGAAATAAATGTCAAAAGGAATTGTTCAGTTTGTATGGGCACTTTGGCTTTGAGTGGACATTATCTACAGTTATAAAAAACATTATTTTTCAATATTTCATATTTTAAGGTTAGAAATAAGAAGCAGAGATGGTTAAATAAAAAAAATTGTAGATTTACACATATTTACCTTTAATTTGACAATACAATTCTACAAGCAAAAGACAGTACTTCTAAATACACTTATTTATAAGAATAGACTTTACATGATCACTTAATAAATAAGTTACACTGCTCATACAGTTTGTCTTCAGCTGGAGGCTGGCATTCGGGTGGTCCAAAAAGCAGCTACATTTATATAAGTTGGTCACATGATGTCCTTATCGTTAAATCTTCCATGGCCTCTCATGACGTGTGCTTGCAGTCAAACACAACTATTCTCCTAATTTGTGCTCACCCTCGAGAATAACTCTTCGCCTTGGAGTGGCTGTAGACTCACATTTACATCTGCGTCTATTAACAGAAAGAACTGTTTTAAAACACCTATCCAGTACATTTGTACATTACTATTAAAAAATAAATTAACATTAAATGTTGAACTACAGGTACAGTATTCCCACGCCTTCGCACATGTAAATAGTAGCCTATATCATCCTGATGAAAGATGTAGCTTCCCTTAAGTAAAAGGATTTTTTTACATCAGTCTTGTAGTTTCGAAGTTTGTTAACAAGCTCAACTAACAATCAAATTTTTTTAGTTTATAATATAAGTAAGGATAAGAGGCTCAAAGCTCACAAACTAGTTTCACTATTTTTACAATAATAAGGCAAAAATAATAAACAATTTTACCTGATACCATGTGGGAATGGTCAGTCGCTGTGGTGAGTCGCAACCAGGAACAAAACAATATACTTGTGAATCAGGTGCTCTTTTATAATCCGGTAATGATCTATATAGGTTCCGGAATATTATATCTGCTTGCTGCTAACATAGATGACAGACGCGATATTGATCTGCCATACACCTAAAGAGTATAACATAATATTAAATTATTTGTCAACAAAATGTTACTTAAACGATATGGCAGCGATATATTAATGTTTTACTTGTCATAAAGGAAGCTTAATTATGGTAAAATAATCAAAATAAATAAAAATAACTATAATCCTACCTGTCGTGGGGATATCCAATTAATAATTATATTACTAATGTGTTTCTTTGACGGATATTTTTTGCAGATGTGATCTAGTACGTAATATAGATCTTTCACAATTTATACAAAGCTGCCGACGATGTCCTCTACTTGTGCTTGGTTTGGTGTCCATAGGTATAGCCGGGTCATCATTTCGAGAGGTTAATAAATAAATTGGTCGAAAGTAACAACAAAATCAAAACGTAAGAATTATCATTATCACTCAAATGTCTTTGTTGACAAAAGTGAAATGGTGCTGCCCTATAAAAATTATTAATCGATTAAAAAGTAATCAATGGTTTGTATAAATTAATTTATATATCTAACCGAAAAGGATTATTTCTTATGTTTTTAATATATATGATACATGATATTGCAAAAGATTACCTAATGTATATGTATTAATATATAAATACTTTAATTACTTTTATTTTTATTAAAGTTAAAACTTATCGATTAATCGATACTATTAGTAATAGTACTTCAATAACATTTATTGATATGGAAACACAGTGAAATATGTTAACAAAACACATCCGAATCCAAAAAATACTTTTTTATGTGATATTTTTAATGTTTAGTTTCCCATGACGAGAGTATTAAAAATAATTTTTCTTTCAGTTTTAATAATAATTTACTGTTTACATATTTTTTACTTATTAGCTTGTCCACCAAAAGCCAAAATTGAACAATTCTCTTTATGTTCTTTTTTTGTTAATAATTAATAAATACTTATATATATAAAAAGCAAGTTATCGTCATTTATTGATGATATTTCCTAAATCTATTTTTCAACACTCTCAAAGTCTACTAGTAATATAATCTAATCAAATAAATACTAATCTCGAGAACGAGGCGCGAAGTATAATTAATGATTAAACGAACTTACCTAGTGAAGTTCTATCATAATTATACGAAGCGCCTCGTTCGAAGAGATTAGTAAACCCGCCCAACCCTGTGAACATTATTCCCAATACTAAGCTCTCCGGAAATACATCAATAAACCAGATCTATCTCTAAACTTAATGAAGATGGCAGGGAACGGTATCGACTAAGAAGATGAGAACTACCCTCGTAATAAAAAAAAAAAAAAAAAAAAGCAAATGCGAAGAAATCTCAACTATAGTGCCGGAGTAGTGACACATATGCGATACTACTAGTAATATAATCTAATCAAATAAATACTAATCTCTTCGAACGAGGCGCTTCGTATAATTATGATAGAACTTCACTTGGTAAGTTCGTTTAATCATTAATAATTTGAGTTTATATTCTTATTCAACTTATTTAATAGTATTCTTAGCTTGTTTTGTGTCGTATTTAATAAAATTCACATCGGTTATAGCAATGAGAAATTTTACCTTGCCGAAGAAATAAACAAAATGCTTCTAACTTACCTGAAATATGATACACCTACAATATTTCTTTCGGATCTATTTTTGCAAGATATAACACTGCATTTAACCATTATTTTAATTTACAAGTAACGTTTCTTACATATAAACTTTATACATCATATAAAACATTGTTTAAATAAACTTCTTTCCAACTTTTTTTGTATATTATTTGAGTCCAATAATTTATATGCCTAAAATCTTGACGTTTTGGTGCCAAACAAGCCAGCAAACAAAAAAACCGGCCACATCGATAAGGACAACAAATAATGTTTTTATCTCACTTTAACTAATGAAAATCGTAATAAGTCATTTCATTTCCCGATGAATGAGATAGAACATACCATAAGTCTATTGTCTTCTCTGTCTACGGTAAAACCGGAAAAACAAAATATGGATGAATGACCAAAGAGTAATGTAGTGAATGACACGATGACATATGTTTTTGAGGGTCAATCATTGACTAGATTTGTAATACTACTCTTTGGACTAGATGCTATGGGTTGATGGCAATCATTGAAGTGTCAATAGTGTATTGTGAAAAAAAAAATACCTACATAGTCTGTGTATGAAAGTGTTTTCTATAATATCAATAACATTATAACATTGATTAAAAACATTAAAAGCTTATGACGAGTGTACACTACATCATAATAGTTAATTCGGGTAAGCATTCCTCCCTGTCAATTGTCTTCCTTCAAATATAAAAATTACGGAATAGTAGGCCTCCGACTTCGCCGACAAAAATATTATCTGTATCTATACGTTATAAGGAAATCACGTTGTGCCTTCATAGATTTAGTTTTCTTCCTAGTCTACACTTATTCATTAGAGTGAAGATGATTTGGAATACTATAATAAGTAAAAATATGACGCAAGCTTATGAATCATTAGCCGTAAAAACACACCAATTGAGTAGTTTGATCAGTGAAAACAAAAATTTAAATAAAAAATATTTATGTTTCCCCCAGAATCAACAATTAAAAAGATTTGATGAAATTAAACTCAAAAATCAAATTTCAAAATAAAATGTATTAGTAACTTTCAAGTCATCCTCAGGCATATCTCTGACAGATATACCACCAAAAACTGCTAAGTTTTGTAAAGTAAGAGTTTACTTCTTGATTATGATCTTAAACAATACATCAAAATTTTAAGCCTAATCATTAATTTAATTTTCACAGACTTGGTTCACTATGATGCACGTGGATGAGGATGCTGAGCTTCAAAATGTTGACAATGCTGATGATATTCGCATGGAACGACAAATTTCTATTCAAAGAAATCATGATGCCCAATACATAGATGTAAGATACAACTTAAATTTCCTACAATTTTGTATATTTGATAAAAATGTATGATGAATAAATCATTCATTAACATTCTTATACTGCAACTAGTGCTCAAATATTTTTGACATTGATGGTATTAAAAATTTTACTGATTTTGGTAGATTTGTTCTAAAAATCAATATCAAGTCTGAACCTCAAGGGTTTTTTGGAAATCTTGGAACTAGCATGTTGAGTTTGAATCTTACAAGCTTTTACATTATATTTATACTAATGAAAATTCCCAGAAAAATCCCAACTTTGAAACTTTGTTTCAGAATGGTTCAGTGTCTACCCTTCACAGATGTCAAACAGTGGATGCTAAAAAGTTGTGCATTTATGATTTGAATTTGAAGATAAAACATATTAGTCAGTATGATATAGGCGGAACTTACACAGGGGATGAACCAGATTTGTGGTTTTACTATTCAACATCAGTATGCCCAGGATATAATTACCTGTTGAATCTATTTGTGTGCCATAGGAAAATAGGCAACTTTTCTGTTGGTGTCAGTGACTCTAATGAAATCAAAGTCAAAAATCAACACGCTGACATCTCTGGCTGGACTATGTTACCTGATTCTCTCACATGGTTTACTTACAAAAGTACAATGCCCAATGAAAATTATCACATCAAAACATATTGCTTTACAGAGAGAGACATGAAATATTTTAATGATACTATAGTTCTTATTCCTATATCAATAATTCCAAATTCTAGTCCTTCACTCAATAGTGACATTATAAAATCAATTAAATTACAGTACAGCCTAAATGGTATATTATCCAAACAAGAAAATACTGATTTTATTTTAGAATCAGCATCGAAAAATAAATTTTCTACACACAGAATAATACTAGCTGCACATAGCCCAGTTCTGAGGAGTCTAATTAAAGACTTGAAAACTACTTCCCTTTCCATTGACATCAGTGACAGTGATATGAATTTACTTTTGGAATTTCTGTATACTGGGACAGTAAATGACATATTAAAACAAGATTGTGTAAGTTTACTTAGAATCGCTGATAAATTTCAACTAACAAATTTGTTCTTGATTGCGGAGTACGCAACAGAGTTACAGATCAATGTTGAAAATGCTGTGGATGTTGCTCAGCTGGCACACAGGTACAAATTGGAGAATCTATGGCAAAAAGTGCTTGATTTCATTAAAAAAAATCCAAAGGTAATGCAGACAAATGGCTGGAAGAATTTAAAAGATATTGAACTAACAAAGCAGCTGGTTGAACATATATACGCTGGATCAACTGAGACCTAACCTGTTCTCTAAATGTGAGATTCCCTAGATTTTATTTTTGAGTTATCTATTTACTCTGCCAAAATAAATTGTTTTGCGTTGTATAGAGAATTATGTAATGGCTATTTACATTCTTACATTTTTTTGTTTTTTTTTATATCTGTTATATAAGTATACTGTAATTAAAACTCACTGTTATATGTTTTATAGGCTGTTTATTTATTGATATAATTAAGCTGTTATATAGTCGCTTAATTTGTGATATTATAAGATGTAAACTACACCTAATATTTAACATAGCAGTATTTTTCTGATTTCTAATAACAACCTACTAAATAAAGACCTGACCGTTTATGAAATGGAACTCTTATATTATGTATTTGTATTGGTGCATACAATATATCTCTATTTATTTGTATTGCTTTCATTTTATTTAAAGTGTTTGAAAATGGTGAAATAAAACATACTTAGGCGACCAACTGGATACTGAGACAGGGCAAGGGCGTCTGAGGGACAGACCAAAGAGCAGTATAGGGAGAAGCGGGAACACATTGAATGGCATCAATGAGGAAGCATTTAAATTAGCGATGGACGTTATTCGTGATAGACAGTTATTCAACTAGTGATATGGATTTGCCTGAACCGCCATCACTAGTGATTCAGTAATACGACTGTCTTTTTTCCACAACACTTTAAAGTAAAGCTGAATTCACTCTTAAGTCGATAATTTATCAACTTAAAGAGTAAATTCAGCTTTACTTTACTCTTCAGCAACTCCCTTCACAATTTTCGCGATCACCAAAAAAGGGCGATATATACAGTCTGTCTATAAAGTCATGAAAAAAAATGAGGGCGCTGCGATGCGTGCACGTAGCAACCCTGTGTAGCGAGACAAATGATTTTGATAGTAGGATTTTCTTTATTTATAGAAATATAAACCAGATATTTTTTTCACTTCAATTTCCCCAGAAATGGTAAAAAAAGGCGTTTAATTCGTAGACAATAAGTTTATTCTACATAGAAGATTACAATGTAGTAATCGTAATTTTTGATAAATCTCTCGTTTTACTGCAATGAGTGCTTGTTTTCGATTAAAGCCTGTTATTTTGACACTTCTTGTAAGAAAACCCAATCGATTTCAGAATTTTATGCAGGACTTCTAGGCTACAATTAAAATCCAGATCGGTTTTGGCAATCAACTGAAGTTTTCTTCATGTAGGTACCTCTTTTTTTCACAAAGTAAAAGAACTGAATCTTTTGTCGAAGTGCACAAATGTTGCAGTTAACTATTTCTTTCTAAGGACGACCTGATCTATGTTTCCCAGGGGTTTCAAATATGCCACCATTTTTACAGCCTTCATCTGCAATACATACAATATACTCTCTGATTTTCCTGAAAGCAAGTTTTAAAAATGTAATAGCTATAGGTATTTGGCAGGAAGAATGCAATCGCTACAATGATCAAATTAATGCTATAATTTTAGTAATATAAAGCACAAACTTTTGATTGGCGTACGTAGGTAAAAATCGTACATTCCTAACAGGTATATTTTTTATTCAGATTCAAAATCAACGATAAATTTGACTATCCAAAAGTATTAAACGTTCGGGTCACACTACAATATAGCCTTCTAAGATTTTCAATCTAACCTATAAATGCGCAATGTAAACAATACTTATTGTAGACTTAAATTCATATATTTAGTAAATTTGAAGCTTTTGGTAACTAAAACACAATCAGTAACGCGATTACATATCAGTCATAGCTGCCGTTCGAGCATAAACATCCTCCAAATATAATAAAATGTGTCCAGCTTCTTGTTCCAATAAACATCACTGAAAATCTTAAAATATAACATCCAGAGCTTCACACTGATTAGTTCTCTTCAGGCGTAATATTCGTTGGGCATGAGCTCTCGCGAAGGCTTTCTTACACCTTTTTGTAGCTTTATTGTAGGCTGCCTTAAGAGATCCAAGATTGTGATCCCTCCCCGCGTAACCCCTGATCCAGGCACGGTAAGACGCCTTGCTATTGGTGACAGCTTCATTGCATTCCCGGTTGAACCAGGGGCGACTCCTGCGGCTGACGACGACATCCGATGTTGGAATATAATACTCCATCCATACCCAATAAGATCTCATCCGCAACCGCAGAAGCACTTGCCGAGAGATCCCCTTCGCCAAAGCATCGCTGACGCCAATGAAAGGATGAAAAATATTCCCTCAGGCCATCCCAATCTGCTGACCCGTAATGCCAAACACGTCGCCTAATCGCCGGAGGGACTGGTTTAGTCTCGCCTGGTATCACAGCTTCCACGACGCAATGGTCAGAAGAACCCAAGCGTGCACTTACCGAGACAACATAGCCAGCGGGGTGGCTTGTAAAGAAAAGGTCCAGCATAGAAGGATCCTGACCCGCAATATCTGGTATTCTGGTTGGCTCAGTGACAAGCTGTGTAAGATTATTCGCGAGAGCAAAGGCGTGAGCGCTTCTTCCAGCATGATCAGTTTTAGAGGATCCCACCCAAGTAGCACAAAACACCATTATATCAAACTTATAATAGCACGAGTCCAAGCGTTAAGCATTATAATAAAATCGTATATCAACCGTATTTCTTTTAAACGACTCTTATACGTAAAATTTGGGCCCACCCTTTGTACGACTTTAAACTTTATAAAAACTGTGCAATAACACTACAACTTCTGTATAATAACATTAATAAAGTCGGGTAAAAGCATTCTAATAGCCACAAAAAGTTCAATTAGCATTTAGGGTATTAAGTGTCGGACCCTATTTATGTTATCAGAAGGTTAAATAAGAAAACACGTTCACTCTGTTACTCCGTATATTAGCGACTAGTTAAAAAGTCTTTGTTCTACAGACGTCAGACGCTAACAAATTGTTTATAAACATCTTACAACTAAACTGTACATGTACATGTAGGCATATGTGTCCCTACAGTACTCCCCCTCTTACAATAAAAAATAAAAGTACACATCACATATTGTAAGAAATGTAAAAGAACAGTACAATAAAGAACAATAAAAATAATATAAACAATTTTTAAATAAATGACCATTAATTAAAGTGGTTCCCATATAAAATAATATGTCATATAAAACATTTAATTTTTATCGAATACAAATTCTTACTTATTTGTAAACAAATTAAATTAATTTACATGTTTCCTATCAAAAGCTTATTACTAAACAAATATTACTGTTTAATAGTATCTAAATCCTAACCAATCTAAAATTATATTTATTATACGCTACAAATACATGTTGAACATGGAATTGAACCTATAATTTCCACAACCACTAAACCTAATATTCTCTATGCTACTTATTCAATACTATTCACGTATCGTATCGATTTGTTTACATTAACAAATGAGTAATATTTACATTAACAAATTGTGGGAACGCGGCGATCTTGTAAGCTGAGTACAAAAATTGGTTGACAAAAGTTCTTTGTTTAAATCAGTACCCACTGTTATTATTTCTAGAGCTATATCGATGAAATTGAAATCTTGAGAACAGAACTACCTATTATTTAATTTACAAAGACTTCCGCTTGCTTCGTATTTCGTATACTGAGCGCTTAGTGTAAGTTTTTTTGACGTTTACGTTCACTGTCGATCGTGAGCGCGTTAAGATTTTAGTATGGAATCCAGTACAGCGCCCCTAGCGGTAACTACCAAGAACTACAAATCTCCATACAAATTCTTAACGCACTCACTAGTGAACGCGTTAGCGTAAAACTTACACTTACCACTCTGTTCTCTATGCTTTGTCCGTTCGACTATAATGTATTACGTCATGCTGTAAAACATACGGGTGTATTGATAACGCGGCCACTACGCGTAGTTCTCGGCTGTAGAGCTTTACTGGAAGTGACCTCGTTATCTAAACTAGAATCGTTACTCTTATTAAAATTCGAACTATAACTAAAATCTTTATCACTATTTATAAAAAATGCTGGTTTTAATCTTTCTATTGAAATAGTTTTCGTCTTATCTCCTATTTTAATATCGAAAGTTTTGCCTTTCCGACTTACAACGTCGTAAGGGCCATCATAAGGAGGTTGCAAAGATTTACGAAATACGTCATTTCTTATGAATACACTCTTACAACTATTTAATTCGCTAGGCAGAAATAATGAACGTGAATTACCATGACTTGACGGTTTAGGTCTCAAACTTTTAATGGAATTGCGAAGATTTTGTAAATATTCCGAATCCGAGCAATTTAATTTGGAATCTTCATAAAAATCACCTGGCAAACGAATTGTTTTACCATAAGTTAACTCTGCTGCACTAACGCCACTGTCACTGAGGGTTGCGGCTCGGTCTGCACGCTCAAACTCTCCTAATCCTGCTATCGTATGCCTATTAATTTTTGATCTCTGGCAACTAAAACAGGTTCTAGTCCAACTCGCTATATCCTTAAGCATATTAGGCCAAAAGAAACGTTGTTTAATTAAAGTTCTGGTAGTCTTAACACCGGGGTGACTTAAATCGTGAACCGAATGAAAAGCAATTTCCCTGAATTTATCTGGTAAATATGGTCTAATTCTGTTCGATGAAATTTCGCAATAAATATATTTTTCGCAGTCTGGCAATAATATTTGTTTAAATTGTAATTTACTATCTGTTGCTTGCAACGCTTGCTGTAGGTATTCGTCACTAAGTTGTTGCTCAGCAATTTCTCTAAAATCGAGTAATGTAGGACAACTGATCGTTTCTATCCGCGAAAGTGTATCTGCGACTACATTTTGCTCACCGCTGATATGACGAATATCGGTGGTAAACTCGCTAATGTAAGATAATTGACGAATTCTTCTAGGGCTTTCTTTGTCGTTATTTAATTTTGAAAATGCAAAAACGAGAGGCTTATGGTCAGTATAAATAGTCAGTACACGGCCTTCCACTAAATTTTTAAAATATTTGATAGCCATAAATACTGCTAACAATTCCCTATCATAAGTAGAATATTTCGTTTCAGCTTGTGAAAGTTTTTTTGAAAAATACCCTAATGGTTGCCAATTGTTGTTATTTTTCTGTTGTAATACAGCACCTACACTAGTATCCGAGGCATCGGTCATCAGCGCTAAATTAGCATCTGGTAAAGGATAAGACAGTGTAGCGGCGCTTTGCAAGCTTTCCTTACACTTCTTAAATGCTTCGACAGCCTTATCAGTCCACACAATTAAAGTTTTATCGCGTTTTTTTGTATTGTGCAAATATTTATTCAATTCGAATTGATATTGAATAGCGTTTGGAATGTGTGCACGATAAAAATTTAACATACCGAGAAAACGGCGTAGTTGATCGACTGTCTCGGGTTTCGGGAAATTTACAATAGCCTGTACTTTATCTTGAAGTGGTCGCGCACCCTCCGTAGACACTTCAAATCCTAAAAACTCAAGTTTTGACTGACCAAAAACACATTTAGATAGATTAATAGTTATTCCATATTTATCAAATCTTTCGAAAACTGCCTTTAAATGCTCTCTGTGTTGACTTTCATTTTCGCTCGCGATAATAAGATCATCGATATAACTGAATAAAAAGTCTAACCCTTGTAGTACTACGGTATCCATGAAACGCTGGAATGTTTGAGCTGCGTTACGTAATCCGAAGATCATGCGCGGAAATTCAAACAGTCCAAAGGGCGTTATAATGGCAGTTTTTTCAATATCCTCCGGGGCAACCGGTACGAAATGATAAGAACGAATTAAATCTAACCGC